GAATTTTAGGATTAAAATACCATTTTAAGACATGTGTCAATCTTAGCGGTGGCTCTTTGAGTCGGTGGTCGCCTTCTTAATATCCGTTTTGGACCCGCTTGTTCGGCTGTCTTCCATTCTTATAGATGATTGTCAACCGTTCAAACACTTCAGCTCCTGCTTCAACACGTATTTGTACTTTAAACCAACACCATCTCTTTCAAAGTTCATGACTCCTACAAGACTTATTGGTAGTTAAACCGGCAAGATTTTAGATTTGTTTAAATTTAAATTTTATAAATCTTAGAATTATTAAAAATTTATATATATATATATATTAATTTTAAAATTTATAAAATTAATTAAAATATATATAAACTAATTTAAATATATATATATATATTAATAAAATAATAAAAATATTTATGCTTTTCATCCAAAACAACATCAAAAAACAAAGATAGATATTTTAATTTTAATCTTTATATTTAGAGCATGCTTGGAAGCGTGATTGTTTTTCAAAAAAATTTCATGTTAAAATATATTAAAATATTTTTTTTATTTTTTAAAAATTATTTTTAAAATTAACACATCAACATGATTCAAAATATATATAAAAAAATAATTTTTTTTAGTGTTCTCTTAAAATCATTGCAAATTTAAAAAAAAAATAAGTGAGAGAGAACACAATGCAATTAAAAATTATTGAAATGCCTCGAATTGCAGTGACACAATTGAGAATTGCTATGGTTTAGGAATCCGTTTAAGAATCGATGATATATATATATGCGCGTGCGCGTCAAGGATCAATGGAATGTTTTCCAACTTCAAAGTACAGTTCTGAGGGGTAATTTTTTTTTTTTGTAATTTTGATAAATTAACAAAATTTAAATTCACTCTCAAAAATATTTTTCACCCATATTCATTTGCAGTCTTCACTTAAATAATATAATAATGATTTTTCTTCTCTCGAATAAACTTAACACTGTTTTCTAAAAGTATTTTTATCTTTACATAAGTTTTATTAGTCATTATTAATTGACCATAAATAAATATGTTTTTCTTCATTACAAATATACAATAAAAATATTAAAATATTCTTAGAAGGAAAATATACAATAAAAATATTAAAATATTCTTAAAAGAAAAAAAAAAGAAAAAGCAAAACTAGCATCAATGGTTAATTTTATATTTTTACGATGATTTTTTCATTATTATTAATTCAGTTGATGACAATTTAATATTTGATTAAATATAAAAAATAAAAAAACAAAATGTACAATGAAATAGTCAAAATATCCTTAAACTTTTCAATGAGTTCACGATGACCTTTTTATTATTATCAAGTTAGTGTAGAAAAAATTTGGTATTTGACCAATTATAAAAAACAATAACAAAAATATTGAGGTGTGTGTAATGCACTTGTCCGACACGTAGGAAGGGCCTCCTCTTTTCAGGCATCGTGTATGGCGCCTCTCGACATAAAAAAATACCCTTATATTTTGTCATTGCAAGCTTCACTGCGTCCTCTTCCTAGTAGTGCAACGCATGTCAACAATGCTTGTATGGTATATCATCGGTGAGTCTTTTTTATAGCTTGATCCTTTTTGTTTTGGTATTTCAACTTCAGTATATGTTCTTTTGATTTATATTTTTGGTTCTTGGTCTTTTTGTAGAATTTTTGTATGTTTTTAATTTTATTTTTCAATCTCAATTTGCCATGTATTATGTTTTTCAATTTGGCCCTCATTCTTTTGATTATTTTTTAAATCATTTGTTGGATTAATTTTTCTTTTTGATTTTGCCCTTCAATCAGATTTTTATTTTTATTTTAAATTTCAATTTTAATCTTCATACTTTTAATTTTTTGGTTCTTTTGTATAATTAATCTTTCTTTTCAATTTCACCCTTCAATAAAAAATAAAATTTATTTTGTATTTTAATTTTGATCTTTATTTTTTTATTTGTTATTTTTTGCCCTGGATCCTTTTGTGTAATTGCTTAATTTTGATCTTTATTTTTTTATTTGTTATTTGTTATTCTTTTTCTAAGTTAATCCTTTAATATTTAATTGGTGGAGAATTGAGATTTGTGATTTTTCCATATGGGAGGTGTGCTTCAAATCTAAGACCTTAAGTTACGAGTTTGAAAAATTAACATAAATTGATATTATTTTTTTATTTTTTTAATTTTTTTTTATATATATATTTTATTTTCTATCAAATTATCATAATTACATTACCTAAATCACGAGGTTAATATGCTAACTTAGTTTGGAAAATTTTTTATTCCTTGAGTTATAAATTTAGTATGTTAATTCAGATTGACTTAAGCTAGTTTTTTTAGTCTTTTTACCTAATTTTTTTCTTCTGTATCTAATTAACTAAAAATTAAATCACATCATTTATTCTCTTTTTTAAATTGTTTTTTTCCCATGATTATTCAGGCCACAAAACCTATAGTAAGAGAATGAGGAATTGAGACGAGAGAACAGAAACGGATTGACTTGAAAGAACTGATAGAGAGTGAAACAAAGAATCGAGAATTCAATTTGAATGCGTCATTGCATATTTTCAAAATTACTAATTTATTCATTTTTCAAGACTACAAATGCTAATTTATAATTTAATCTAGTTTTGACCCGTGACCAGAGTTCTGAGAGGAAACATCGAAGTTGCTGCGCTCGTTCGGAATAATATTGCTCATTCAAAGAAAACATGTGTATCATATCAATAGAGAGTGTGGCCTAAAGCTTCAAGTTCAAGAAGACAAGTAATTCTTCCCGCACAATTCAAAACTGGAACCAGCAGACATGGTGAAGTCAAACTACAGATAAAGGACGCGATCTTCCATGACGTGCTCATTTTGTCATACTGTTGTTCTTTCTTTTTCTCTGCCCTGTTCTATCGTGAAAAAAATCTTTTGACTCATCATCGCCCTTCTCATGTGAATTAGTATATGATGGCTTCCACCGTATTGATGGCTGCAGAATGGGCCGCTTGACGACTCCACCCAGCAAAAAGTTGATTCTTGACCTGATTTTGCAAGCATCCGATTGAACCAAACGTGGTTCTCAACTAAATTTGGATCCTTGCATATTTGGGTTGGCTATTTTCAATTAAATTTGCAACGTTTTCTTTCTGATGCATTGCACACGATGCCAGTTCAATTCTTCCATGCCAATGAGAGTTTGAACTTTAAACAAGCATGCGCAATCACAGCCAATAAATCAGAAATTTTAACTCTTAACATAAACGAAAGCTGGATTAAATCAAATTAAAGAAAATTCAGAATGTTCAGTAAACCACTCTCAAATCTTTTCTAGCAGTCTAAGGTTTTTTTTTTCAGGTTAATCTAGAAACCCAACAATCCACAAAGCAGGTTAATCATGCATAAAAAGCCCATAGGAAAAGTCCCACTTCCTTCACACGATGCTCTTAAGTTCTTTCCACGGCATTTCTAAAAGTAAAAATAATAATTAAAAAAAAGGGAGCTTAGACTACATAAGAAAGGTACAAGAAGGCCATTGGGTGTTATGAAACGTACATAAAAACCAAGTTTTACATTTCAATTCCGAGGAGCCTTCAATTGTGATCTTTGCATCGAAAAATTGAATTGTCCAATTGAGCAGGTAAAGAAAAGAAAAGAAAAAACTTTTTTCCTGAAATCTGTACTCTCAATATTCAACCCAAGAATTGTCAATTCTATTCTGTTTTACTCAAAATAATTGAAATATTCTATATTAATTCTTTACTCAAAATAATTGAAATATTCTATATCAATTTAAAAAATAAAATTAAAAAAAAAATTATTTTATTTTAAATCTAAGTCTGTTCCAGATTTTTCGACTAAATTCCACCTAAAACATTTCGGTTTCATTTCACATGTTTTGTTTTGCTCTTGAAAAGTTATCGAATCAAATTGAACTTTGTTCAATTTACTTAATTAAATCACTTAATTATAAAAAACTCTTTTTATTATTATTTTCAATAACAATGATATTAATAATAATATTGAAAACTATTATTACTATTTTCATTAACAATGATTTTAATTTTTTAAAATTAGATTTATCACTAATATATATGGTTTATATTCATGTTGTTTTTTTCGTATTTATACTTTGTAGGAATTTGAGTAAAATAAGAGACGTTTTAAATTCCATTAGCTTTGATAACATTAACCTAACTTTATAATTAAAATATTTGTGTTAAAATATTTTACTTTCATAATATTTTGATATTTTGTTTAAGTTGAATTACTTTAAGTTAAAGATCTATTTAATCTTGACTATTTAGAAATATTTTAAATTTTAAAATTATATTTGTTTGACATTGTGTTTGTATTGCATAATTTATAATTAATTTATTTTGAATTTGCATTATATTTGTTGAGAATATATATATATATATATATATATATATATATATAAACAATATAACCCTAAAATAGCATCATGTTTTGGACTGCGACAAGATTATTCTTGCAAAACTAGGTGCACAATTACCTGTTCCAAGACGACTTTCAATATTCTACAGCACGTTGCTATTCCGAATTCAACACTTGAAAAAAATCCATGTTAACACTCAAACCACAGCTATGACAGTGATTAATTCAATGGCAAATCAATGCACGTTTTGTTTTCACGCTTTCCACATAGATAATTTAGTCAATCAACTTCTAAATCCTTACCCTATGCTTAGTATTCATTCAACTAACAATCTTAGTCTAAGCTTCCCTTGCTTGTATTTTATTTTCCCCGAGAATGAAGCTTCCTATGTTTCTGTATCCCGGACATTAGGTGGGATTCAGCGATACGTCAAGGTTTTAATTAATACAGTACGCGTGAAACCAAGGAATCTTCAGCAAACCATGAACTTCGGAAATCGACAGGCCACCAGTAGAACCATGCATGTATTTGTGATCATTATATGCCCCTGGTTTGACAGATGTATACGATAAGTGTAATTATCTTTTCTGCACCAAAAAGAGTCGCATCTCGTGCTCTGCTGGTCAGGACATGTCTGCACAAAAAAGGATGTGCATATTTTTTGCACCATTAAGGGTGATACATTAATCTCGATGTACCAAAAATGATTCGTTATTGTTCCAAGTTCAAGAGTCATCCTTCCATTCACAGAATCCAGGTGAGTTGCTTTAGCTTCATGCACGACTTTCCTACAATGGCTAGCCAGGAATTTCAAAGAGAATGGCAGTATTCAATTTCTTCAAGTAAATGGCCACCCACGCTCAACTTACTAGATAAAAATTAACCACATGTACCTGCTTGATAATATTCATAAAAACTATTGTTACCGTGATCGTGTAATATTCCAGCTCAGAAAGACATGCAAGCATAAACGATAATGTAAAATGTAAAAAAGACAATGGAATTAGAACCGTCTCTCTGCCACCAATACACCTTTAGTAATGTGACTTATTTTTTTATTTGCGCAAAAAGAGATTTACTTTTCCTTCACTTTTGGAAGGGGCTCTGAAAAAGAAAAAAATACGTAATTTAACAAAGGGAAAACATATAAAACAGATGGTTTGGATTTTGGAGCTTTTTATCTCCCAGTTGAAATGTGAACTGAGAAGAATAACCCAAAGCCTTCCACGCAAAAGAATCTTTTTCCTCAGCACAGCATTTGCAGAACCAAGATATCCTAACAGCCATCCAAAAAAAAAAGTGTTCTCCCCATTCAATTCAGAACTCATAAATACTTTACCTCATAATGTTTATGCCTAGTACCACCAGTTTTCCAAATGAAAGCCATCTAAACAAAAGTAATTTGTCTGATTAGTCTATGAAATGCAAGGCTAAAAAGCGCAGCAACCACTTTGTCACTTGGTTAAATTATGAATTATGAAGAGATGAAAGGAAGAAAATCATTCAAGTATAATTGAGTGGAAAGATATAAGAATGTCCCATTCCATTTCCTTCAAATTCCTTCAAAACATGCCGAGAGTATCTTACTATTTCTTAGACACAATAACATGACTGAGATATTACACGTAGTAAAGGGCACACCTTTGATTACTGACTGGCCCTCTAAAGGAGTGTTCTATCTGCAAAGAGCCTTAAGATTGCAAACTGCTTGTTTCCGTTTTATTTAGGATAGCTGAAATATTTTATATTAATTTAAAAAATAAAATAAAATAATTTTTATTTTATTTTATTTTAAATTTTAGTTTATTCTGAATTTCTTAACTAAATTTTAGTTGGAATATTCTGATTTTATTCCATATATTCTGTTCAGGTCTTAAAAATCTATTAAATCAAATTAAACTTAATTTAATTAAATTAATTAAATCCTCCAAGTATAAAAATTCTTTTTCATTGTTATTTTCAATAGCAATAATTTAAAATTATATTCACACTGAAATTTTCTATAATATATAAAAATTGTTTCAATTTAAATATTTTTAAAATAATACAAATGCATGTTCCATACAACATCTTCAATTTATATAACAATTACTTTGATTTATATTTTCATTAAACATAAAAAATTGTACATTATAGTAAATATGGATTCACAATGGTTTGAAGCACTTTTTTAAGGAGGTTACGATGATGTAATAAATAACATTGCCTATTATATTAATTATGGTCATTATGCTAATAACAATGGAGATTAGTGGTAATCACAGCTTTAATAATGACAACAACTATGACGATGATTTAAATGAAGAGGGTGAGTTGTTTTGAAAAAGAAAAATTGATCGTTACAAATTGATTTTATGCACGACAAGTGCCCTCGTATTATATTATAATACTTATATATATAAGGAGCTTTGTATGAATTCATACAATACTAGAATGCAATGGTTAATGAAATATTACATGGATATTGAATATGATATTTAAACATGTTAAGGATGATGAGGCAATATTTTAAAGTCTTTGCTTTCAACTTGAAAACTAATATGGGTTAAAAGCACCTAAAAGAATGTGTGTTTTTGAAAAAATTGAAATGTTTCTTCATATAATAACACTAGATGCTTCCAACAAAGAAGTTCATGGGAGATTTCAATATCTAGGAAAAACTATTAATAGGCACTTTAATGAAGTTCTTAGATCAATTTGTTCATTCGCTATAGATTTAATACAACTTGTAGATCCTAGGTTTGTAAACACACCGCCTAAAATTATGAACAATCTAAGATATATTCCCCATTTCAATGTCATGAAATTAATCATATTTATTGATGATGATTTAAAATTAAATAAATTTGTAAAATTTATTTTTAATCAGCTAACATTGATGCTTGTTGCTAGTTTCTCTTATATTAGAATTGTGTAGGAGTTATCGATGGTATATGACACGACTAAAAGATTGATGTCTTCTCCCAAGTGCAGGAGTGTCGAAGTAATAAATA